CCCAACAACTCATGTATCCTGGTTACCATCCTCCACTATAATTATAAAATTGCCCTTAAAACATAATTGCATAATTGGGCTTGGCAAGTATTCACCCAAATCTTCTACAAATATTTCCACAGACTGAAGGAACAGGCGGTGAGCCTGCCATGAGAATTTGTGCCCTTAGGACATGTTCCTAGCTATTACACTAAATACTTTGCATCACACCCTAATGTTTCAAAACAGTAGTTGAGCAAGTGAAGCACCAGCATCTTAAAAAAAAAATTGAGAGATTTTCAAGCTATTTTCACTGCACGAATACATTGAGCAGCAATCCCTTTGAACAAAGAGACAGAGGAGGCTATCGATCCTTTTTAACTAGCTACACAGCAAGAATCCCCAGTTAGATGAAATTGGTTGACTTCAGGTAGCTATAACCAAACAAAAGCTACCAATGCCTTGCTAGGGTTACTTTACCAGCCTAGTACCCTGTCCCTTAAGAAAAAAACCAACACAACCCCCCCCAACCTCAAATGCAAATACAGAAACATGTGGCCTGCAGGGAGAGGAGACCCAACAGAAGCCAGAAATGAAACCTGCAATACAGTAAGGTTGTTTTTAACAGCTGTGCATTATGCATTCAGCAGCACAGGGAATGCCAGCAGGGAGCCTTTATTAACATAGGCCTCAGAGTACAGTGAGCTCCTATCATGATTGGCTTCCCTTGAGAAAAGGCGCACACACACAAAAGACTTAACCCTAGAGAGATCGCTCCGATCCTGTTGCTATTTCATCAGCTCCACACCACAACAGAAGCCAGGGAATTTCCATGATGTATCACAGACAAACAGGTAACGCTTCCAACAATGCCTGAAATCTAATCTACAATAGAAGGTTTCATCAGCAAGTTATGCCAGGTAGGGAAAGGGAGAAAAAATGCCACACAAACCCACACAACAGTCACACTACTGATGTTGTTCAGCTACACAGACCTCGGGAACAGGGGAGGACCGCAGAATGCTTCTCCTGTAGAAGATGCTAATAAGAGCAAGCTGTTGTCAGGACACCTGTGTTCTCAGCACAGCAATCTGCACCGCCACTGCACATATTTTAGGGGCCCATCAGTCCAAGAAACAGCTGGAAGCCTTGCTACAGATGCAGAGGCCCAGCAGGGTAACTCACTCCATTTGGGAAGCTCATATTGGCAGCAGAAATCTTCTGCTGATGCCAGCTCTGCCTCCACTATGAGACTTGCCTCTATCACAAACACTTGCTAGCACACCCAGCTCAGCACCGGGCAGATAAAAGGGAAATGCTCTCAGAATAGGCTCACCATCACTCCTGTATCAGGTGCTGATACAAGCTCTCTAAAGGTCTTGTCAACAGCTCTAAGTTGCAGCTGGCTGCAAATCCTCAAAGTGTGGCCTGTCCTGGTGGGCAGCTCCCACAGAAGTCAGATGCAACCACTGAAGTGACAAAAAGATACACTAGAGGCCTTAAGAATATAAAAAAGGCCACTTTAGCACCAATTTAAACCAGTCCTTCCTCTGATTTGGCGGGGAGAGGGCAATGAGAGGAAAGAGAATGGCATGAAATGTCCTGAGCATCCCTCTTCTGACTCTACAGAGAAGAAAAAGTCTCATGATAGGAAAGGGAAACAAAATACCAACCTAAAGAGCTTGAAAACTGCTCTAGATGATGGAACGCCAATGTGTACCTGGAGTGGAGGAAATAGCTCTGTATAGTCTGTATTTATTCATCTCACCTTCCTCTCTTCTCTTCTCTCATTAAGAAGTAAAATGCAAGAGTCAGTATCCCTAATAACATGAGCTGGTTTGAGGCAGCAGTAGCACTAGAAATTTCAAGGGGTTATTTAATATGCAATGTTCTAGTTCCCAAGACCATAATATATGGCTTTTTTAAGCCTAGCACATCTGTGCATTAAAACACTTTTTTCTTGGGTGCTGAACAGAAAGAGACAGGTAGTATTTATTAAAGAAGTTTCCTAGAAGTACTTGTACTGCAGGAACAATACTCTCTAGGTCAGGTACCCCTAAAAGGTTTTTAATATAAGTGCTATGCGCCTCTCATCACAATAGCAGCAAGTGCTTTACAATCAAAATATCACTGACTGTAATATCACTTGATAAAAATACTCCTTTATCACTCTTTAAGCACAAAAAACCAACCAAACAAAAAAAACAACGAGATGCAGGGAGAGTAAGTAATTAGCTCCTTTCACAACTGGCAGGCAGAGACTTGGTCTCTCCATCACTCCCAGCCAGCCCGCTGCCCAGAACACAAGACTGTTTTTTCTCCATTCTTTTTCTTGATTAATACAGCCCTCCCTTCCTTTGAGGCTCAGTTTATACCTGTGTCAAAGAGACAAGTAATTCTCAGGCACAGTTCAGTGTGAGTACAGGAAAGTTACCCAGCAAATGCACCAAAAGACACCTGTTGTTTCAGTGCAGGGTGTTAGCAAGACCATATGGTCTTGGTGACTATGAATGGAATGCCCAGGAATTGCCCACATTCAGAAAATACTCACTTCACCCACCAGATAGGTAGGTCATTTGCAGTCCTATTCTAATGCTTGGGCCACAAGACTTTGGACAAAGGCATGACAAGCAGCACCTCTCCCTAATTTTATCATAGCCCAACTCTTGAGATCTCCCAGAGTTCAGTTGCTAATAGCCAGGGCAAGACAACACAGATGAAAAAGAGTTAATATAAATAGAAAGCAAAGATCTGACCTAGAGGGCGAGCCATGCAGAGTACAAACATCTGAGAATCTGCACAAAGTCTCCTCGCCTATCATTCATCCACCAATTACACACCAATGTAATTAAATCAGGAAAGCTACGTTTAATTTTCCTATCATCACCCGAAGAGATAAGAGCTGTACATATGGGAGGGATCAGGCACAGGGGAAAGAGCTATTTATTAATAAGTTAAATCCTTTTAGATTTAAGAGCCTCTCTGGCTAAGAAGGGTCTGATCCACAAACACAACCTCTGGGTCTAATCCAGACAAATCGGACAACCCCCCTCCATTTCTGTACTGGGCTTGGTCCTCAAGTCTCTTTTATTCAGAAACAAGTCTCATTGAAAATTGCCAGGCATAACTTAAACAGAAATACAGCTTTTGTTTAAACCCCGTTCTTAGTCTATACATTTAAAACTCAGCAATGCTCATCTCCCAGCCATTATATTAACAACGACAGCCACATTAATTTACATGATTTCTAAACAGCCTAAGGCTCCCTGTTTTCACGAACAGCAAGGCATTAGGGTACATTTGCAGAAATACAAGGCACGCTCCAGCCCATTCTTCTGTCTGTCTTCTGTTGCCTTCTCCTGCATGAAGCAGGAAGAAATGCTGTGGTCCCTGTCCCCTGCAAAGACTAGTAATGCTTAAACAGGATCATATAAAGCTTTCTCTACTTGCTAGCCACACACCCAGAACTGGTGCTCTGGCTGTTTTCTCTCCACTCTTCTTCGCTTCATCCGATCCAGCCCTGCTTCCTCAGCCAGTTATTTAAAGCCCCAATTGAAAAATGTATCAGATCATAATAGTGGATGACTTCCACAGGATCAGGTTTTCAATAACAAAAATCCTGCAGGCTTTGATGCAACCATGGCTTCACCACATAATTTTTTTTAAACAGGAAGGGAAAAATATTTATAACAGCAACTATAAATATACGTGCTACTGACTTTTCAACTTGTTGTCCTTGTTCTCAAGCTAAATTTAGTCTGCTATATCCTGTCCAGCCCTTGGTGAAAAAGCAATACACACACAAAATTGTGCAAAACCTGCAGCAGGCAATTATACTTATCCAGGTACCTTACAAGATAACCAGCTGGACAGGTAGACTCTCATTTAGTGAGTGTAGGTATGTTCAAGGCTATAGAGGAAGTGGTCTGTTACAGTGATTACCCCTCGATACATAAAATAATTATTATTGCTATATATTGCTATAATAAGATAGCTCTGTGCTTCTGAATGAGAAGTGATGTGGGTTATTCACATTGTACATGTAGACCATCCACTTGGTTTGTGCCAAATGTGCTTCAAGGGTGTATATACACCTCTGAGCTACAAAGAGCCATTCACTGACCACACCTGCTGTTTACCAATGTTCTTATTTTACATGTAAAAATGTTTGAGATATTGATTCAAACTTGGATGACTGATTTCAAGGTCCAACCTGCATATTAAAGAGCATCCTTTCGTATCCTGGAGGGTCTCATTTACGTGAGTGATTTCTTAGTCAAAACAATGTAAATATTGATCAGGAACTGACTAGCTAGAGAATCACAGTTGTTAGTCATTCCACTGTTAATGTTAAGAAGCCTTAGTCATGCCAGAGCCCAGGTGATTTCTGCAAGGGCCAACATATGTTTTACCCTGGTTTAGGGATCCCTGCCCGCGATTCAAAGTTTCACGCAGATGAGCACTCCCCTGCCACAATCTGACTTGTTCCACTCGTAGCAAGTTTTGCAACCTAAGCAAGAAACGCAGTTCAGGGGATGCTCCTGTACAAGCATCAGCCGGTCTAATAACCAAAATAAGCGGTCCGGGGCGGGGGGGGGGGGAAAATCTTGGTTTCTGA